CTAAAAATAAAATGTAAAATAATTTTTTTTTACTGAATAATCTTTTCTACGGCACTTTGTGTTAAACCAGTTTCAGATAATGGTGCCCAAGGAAAAAAAAAGCTTCTTTCAGGCAAAGCCATTTTCTTGACAGAACCTGAGGGTAAACTTCATTACAATATAATGAAGTCAGGCCACACAAGAACATGCTTGATTAATTCCTCTGGAAATGTAAAAAAAAAAGGAAAGAAAAAAAGTAGAGTAGGAGTGAAAACGACGAAACAGAGCAGAGGAATCCTTAAAATGAAGAGCGAAACGATATAAGCGTCAAATTAATGGACAGCGAGATGAGGAAAAAAAATTGAGGTATTGCTTTTGTAATTGAAATGACTGCGAATAGGTTGCTTGAATACAAAAAAGCGGTGCTCCCTTTTAGTTGGCCGGACACACACAAGCACACAAATATCTCCTCGCAAGATCGTCGGCATTACCACAAAGCCCTGCCTAAAGCTCAGGAAAAAGCCTCCTCTGACCCCATGATTCCTGCCCTGCCTGCCTTGCTGTGTGCGCTTTCTTGCTGGAGAGAGAAACTACTGTTGCCGAGGTTATTGACCGAGAGAGTCAATAATGTTTGATCACAAAAATATTTTTCTGCCACAGCTGGAGTGCCTCAGCACAGCAAACATGTGCACAGTTATGGACAGACGCAAGTGTCAGCACTGTTCTCACACCTAATGGAAAATTGAGTCCTTGGAATATAAACACCAATTAACCGCGTCCCCTTAATGAACATTAGTCCATTTATCTTTGGCCCAAACATAACAGGAAAGGTTTTAATAAGAATTTTATTAATATCTGCTTTGCCCAAAACGATGCAGATAATTAAAAGTACATGCAAAAACTTTCATTACTGGAAAAAAAGTTAAATTATACGCCAATCTTTTTCCCCACTTGTATCATTCTGCTAAAGTTTTAAAAAGTAGCCATTTATTTAAATCAATGGTGACTCAGTTTGCTAAGCAAGTCAGCTAATTGAGGCCACACTCAAACTGATTAAAACAAGCTGCGGTTTTAAAATTAAAGGGGGAGAAAAGGTGTAGGAATACAAGTGATTACCTGACACTTCAGGATTTTTCTCATCTACTTCAGAACGGCTGCTTTGTGTTGCGCATGGAGGTCAAAAAGAGGGAAATATATCGCTTCTGTGAGAGCGTTTAGAAAAAAAAAACAAGATGTTCCTCCTGCTGAGCAATCAGAAACATTCAAATCAACCACCAGCAGAATGTCTTAAAACTGGATGTTTTCATAGCTCTTTTGTCAGCTAACCTTGCAGAAAGTCTCTCAAATTGGGCTGATGTAAAAGACGAATTTATGAAAACTGTCCAATTCTATTTATTAGACCATAAAGGGAAATTCATTATGAGTCATTATGAGCTTTTGTAACTGCAGTAATCAATTTTCCTTTGACAAAAACCAAGGGCACAACGTTGCAAGAAGTCTATTTATGCATTCCTTTATTATTATTATTAATTATTATTATTATTATTATTATTATTATTATTATTATTACTGCATAGATAGTTTTACCCTGTCTGACACTTTTTTGTCTAATTAAGATTTGACTTAAATTGTCCTCTACAATAAAATGAGCAAGTGGGAAAACCTGTTGAGATAGACAGTTAAAAAAAGAACTAAACAAAAGAATCAGTTTGATTCAAGTAAATTAGATGATGCTGAAATAATTAAAAAATTGCCCAACATTAAAAAAAGATTACAGAATTGCATTTTTTTATATAAGCCGGCAGTTATTCATAATGATGACACTTCATTGCAGTGTCATCTTGTGTCATTTCCAAATTAGCTTTAATTTGGCACAATATTGTTCTCTCAAGATGGAAACGACTGATTTAAATGCCACTGTAATTAAGATGCCCACGTTAATGCGACGCAACATAGTTCCGTTTTTAACAAAAGTAGCAAACACTCCTGTCATCATCCAGCGGGTGTGCGGGCATCAGATAAGAGCGTTTACATCAAAAATAATATTTGAGGAACACAAACACATCTTATCAGTCAATCACCTCTGAAGTCGCAACAGTGAGTGACGCTCAAAGTATCAAGTGACACTCTCACTTGAATGAAACGCTTTAAAACACGAATAAGTTTGGCTTTAATGGACTATAAACAGGCACGTACACGACCCAGGAAACTGCTCAGAGACAGTTCATGTTTGTTAAGGACCTGAATGATAACTACAAAAAAAAAAAAAAAAAAAACAACTGAGTGAAACAAACCTGTGAGACTTTGGCTTTAGTAGTGAAATGATCAGAGCTCGGTTGAAATCATTCTTCAAAGTTGGAGCTTCAGACCAGGCGACTCAATGGTCCTTTTAAATCAACGCAAACATTGTCTTAAGCCGCTTTTTCAAAGCTCGACGAAAATCTCTATTATCAAGCGGACTCAGACATCTAGCCAGCTAGCCTGCTAGCTGCTGAAATAAACAGTTGGGATGTCGAGTCTTAACTCTTCATATTCCGGATCTTTCTCTGAGTAGAAGACACGGTCCTCTTCACACAGGACAACAGCGCCTGTGTTGTGCAATAAGGTCCATATCCGGTTGTTTAATACGAGTCCCTCTGTGGTCACATATGTATTTCTTCCTCTATTTGTTCTCTCAGGTTGCTGCTCACTCCTCTCCCACACCACAATGGGTTCTGTTGAACACCAGCCTCTTTACACGTCACGACATCCGCTCCCGCTTTACGACAGTGGTTGCTAAGCGATTATTCTAATGAGTTCTGAGCACCGCCCCCAGAGCAAAGTTGGTTTAATTTTTTCTTTCTTTCTTTTCTTTCTTTTCTTTTTTTAATAGTAACATCGTCCAAAACTAAACTATGTAATTATCCCTAAACAGACTGATTAATCTGACAATTCAATCAGTTCAGCGCCAGGGTATTTAGGCTAATTGGACCGTGTTTTGGAGCGTATTTGGCCACTGACTGATTTAAAAAAAAAAAAGGCGTAGAGCCTGAGCCTAAGTCTGTCATTCTATATTTACACCATACTGAAATTCAAGCCGTGCTAAATATTGTTAATAGTAAAAAATATATATATATCATTAAAAATAGGCTAATTCGAATGTAATAAGTATTATCTATAATTACCCCATGAAAGCGATTCGCTTCCAGTTTGGACACCGAATAGCAGGATTCTTTGTAGTCTTCAGTATACTTTGCGTGCATTAGTTTGTACGCTTCGCCATCTGCTGGAAACAGAGAGAACCACAACCAGTTTGTATTTTTATGCTGCCCTGACGAGAATACACAGACGATTAAAACAATTTTAAATATGTAATTTTCACTAATATTCCCCAAAATATATTTAGTCTGTAATATTATTAATGTTGTTATTATTAGCCGTTGGACCAGTAATTAGACCAGTTATTTTGTAATCTTCTAAACATAAAACTGAAAAATCCCGACAGGTCGTGAAGGCAGCAGGGTTGCTGGTGCGGATGTTGCTGCGGGCGGCTTGTCTTTGAAATCACGTTAGAGTCAGAAAAGTTTTGAACTCAAGAACTTCTCGGAGATGTCGTCCACAGAAAGGCAGAGACAGCAAAGTGCGGCATTATTTGTCCTAGCTGCAGTAAGCTTAGCCATATTAACAATTCTGGCCGTGTGGAAGTTAAAACAATTTAAATACAGACTGATAAATGAAACTGGAGGTGCGCTGTTTTTTGGTAAGTAGCTCCACTCATTGCAGTGTGGGTACTGAGCACGGAAGCTGCCGCTCAACAACACTTCCTGGACTCAAGGGTTTACTTTATGTGCTAGAATGCAAATTAAATACATTTTTAGCACAGTTTTGTGGAATATCCTAGGTCCCTATTTAATTATTTTAAATTATTATTTAAAATTATTTATTTTTTTTATTTTTACTTTATCTTTTCATTTTGTCAAAATGGGAGGCACAGCTTTATGTAGGTTAGCATCTTTTCAGTGTTAATTACCAAAGATGCAACTAAAATAAAATAAGGATGCTGTTAAACGTGTACTTTTATAGACAACTGTGATATGGTCTTGGTTTTGTAAATCTGATCCGACTATTTAGACTGCTGATTACAATAAATCTGATAGGTAAGAAACACTTTGAAAGTGTCATGAACACGTTGTATATGTCACAATAATGTTAATTTAGTTGTGCTTTGAGATAATTGTCATATATTTAATGACATGTTTTCATACACTTTATTTGCAGGTATGCTTTTGGGTTTACTAGTGAAGTACTTGTGGTTTGACCGAGAAGAGCGTGGGAAGACTGTGGGAAGTGAGTGTACTTGTCATGTAATAAACGGCACTCCTCATGTCATAATGGTCAACGCCACATCCCTCCACCGGACTGAAAACGATAGCCAAAGATGCTCACTGGTCTCAGCCTTTCATATGGTAAATATTGCAAATTAAATTGTCCTTTAGCGTAAATCCGCAGCAACAGGAGCTGTTTAGCATGGACAAACACCGCTGCAGATTGTGACAAGTGAAACAACCGTTTGGCTTTGAAATGATGCATATTCAACACTTGAAAACAAATTGAAGTGTACAAGATGCTTGCCAAAGATTTGCACCAACAAAAACCTCTAATGGCTCCTTTATTATTGGTTTTCCTGGGCATTTTTATGGTCTGTTTGTTATTAGAAAAGCAACGTAGCGCTGGCACAGAGAGAAAGAGGGGAAGCGAGCAATTTAATCCATATTAGTCTTTTATTAGGGCACAGATAAGAGAGATTGTGCTTTTCAGGTGTGCTGTGGAGACTAGGGAAAATTAAATTGAAAAGACTATACGCAGATAAAGCTCCGCTCAGGCAGAGAAGATTAAACAACACAAATGGTCATGCCAATAAACCACACAAAATGCATTCTTAAAGATCAAATTAAGATTAAGATTTTGTTCAATGCATGTTACTGCCAGCATCTACAAACAAAACCTCTGCAAATCGTGTATTTATTTCTTCTTTTCAAGATAATTTTCTAGTTTGGGTTTAGATGCTGTTTTCCCATAATGAGATACTCCTGCAAAGGATGTTGGTGCGGATTGCCCTGCAGTGCAGAATAGGTAGGTGATGTAGTGCTGTGTCTCAGCAGAGACACTGCAGCTTTTTGCCTCTTTAGATAGACACCTGAACAACAGGACGCAATGATGGAAGTGAATTTCTCTCATGTCCTTTAAAGGGACAGGAATCATGACACAGCATAGATTTTGAAGGGAAATATCACTAATGGTGATTGACCAACTTATAGAAATAACTTTTAGTTTTAAATATCTAAGAAGTAGATCGCACAGGGTTCCCACGGGTCCTTGAAATCCTTGAAAGTTTGTGAATTAAAAAAATTATGTCAAGGCCCTGGAAAGTTTGTGAAAACAGCTAAAAAATTACACTTGTCCTTGAAAGTCCTTAAATGTTTTTTGGGGATTGAAATTCTCTATTCACACAACTGATTTTCATCATCTTTTAAAAAAAGAAATTATAAAATTAAAAAAACCTTGCCTTTGTTGTGGTGGAAAACTCAGGATTACGGTAAACTGGCGTCATTGTTTCTGACTCAACAACTTCTATGTTGTTCAGTTTTTCATTGAATTTACATGATATTAAACCTGTTTATTGGTAACATTCTGCGGTAGCAGTAGGTGGTTCTTTAATTTGAGGAAATTGGTACTGGAAAGTCCTTGAAAGGTCCTTGAATTTGATGTTGACCAAGGTGTGGGAACCCTGCATATACTACTTACGAGTTTGTTTCCTTGTATAGAAAATTATGCTATAGCTTTAACAAAAGATGATTTGTTTTTCTGTGCCATTGTCTTGAACCTCAATGAGCAAATCAAAACCTTGAATCTGTTCTGTAACATTTATTTTAACAATCTGTTTTTGTGTAATTTACCAATAAAAAGAAAGATACAAGCAATTTTAAGAGATGAAGAGGCACAAATATCTTGAAATAAAATCTATCTTTATTATTCTCCATTAACTTAACTGGTTAGTTTTAATAACCCGCTTCCATCTGTGGATCTTTCGTATCAGAATGCTTTAGGACCCAATTTTTAGAATTATTTTATTAGACGGAGAACATTTTATAGCACAAATAAAAAGTGTGAACAGCTTAGCAAAGCACGTAGTAGTTTTTTCTATGATGAGTAGGATGGGCAGCTTCTTTAACAGCTGATCTTTCTGCAGTTTTAGACACTGATCATATTGTCAACAAAATAAAAGTGGGGAGTTCGGTTTTTTTCTAGCACCATGTTCACATTAGCTAACATCTGCCAACGAGTGAAGCAATAGAACTGCTTGTCGTTTCCTTAATCTGTGCAGCTTGAGACCAGTAATGTTCATGACCCCAATAACAGCAGTTTCAGTTTTAATTTTTCTGTTTCTATAGCTAGTGATTCATTTCCTCTGGTGGATGTTTGTGGTTTTGAAGAAACTGATCTTTTCTCAGCCTTTTGGAGGGTATTGTCTTTCTTGCTGTTATTTAGTGCCTTGATTTGTGGCAGTTGAACAATGTATGCCTTTCAGTGGCTTCACACTCTGGGGTTTCATTTAAGAGAGGGCTTCTAATAGATTTCCTCAGGGTTAATGCGGGTACTGTTTAAGGAAATGATCGCGTGCAAAGTGCAAATGTAAAACAGTAAATTCAGGTGTTGGCTTTGCATTATGGGTGTATGGTTTCACAGCTTATTATTAGGGAAGCACTGCTTTAAGCCACAGAGCAGCAAACTGATAATAAAACATATATTAAAGGGACGTATCATGCAAAATTCAATTTTTTAACTGTTAATTGCATTTTGTTGTTTACTCAAGACTCGGGAGTCTCTAGGAGCGCAGAAAAGTTTGATTTAGTTTCTCCAGGTGCTTCACACATAGGTATCTTTATTTTCTGTTTGGGCCATATTTTACCAACCGTTCAGTTTTCTCTGTTTTCTATGATCTTTTCTGAACTATTTCACCACAGTTTTTGTGACAGAACTTCTAAGGTCTGGACCATAGACTTAAATATATAGATCACTAGACTGAGCCCCGCCCATATTGTCCACAGTTAGCATCTGTGACAGCATGGAGGAGCAGAAACGGAGACCAAACAGGGCAACAGCTCACAGCCTCCATAGAAACTAATAGATAAACAGCAGCTGAACCAGATCTGTTTCACAGATTATCGGTCATGTTTTTACAATAAATTAATAACTATGTTAATTTCATTCAACAATCATGTAAAACAGCAGATTTATACCAGAAAAATATATAATTTATAAATAACATTGATCTAAACCAGACCTGAAGTCAGCCTGTAACTTAGACTTTAGCTTGTTGAAAAATGATGACTTCAGCTAGTAATAAAGTATATTTATTATTTCTTCTTACTGTCATAAAAAATAAGAATATTTATATTTACCAGTCAACAGTTAAAAAATGTTCTAGTTTTAGGATGAAACTTGTCTCTATAGCTAACCATCTTCTTAACAGGTCAGGTTCCTCTAACAGAAGCCTTAAAATACTCACATTTATAATATTATTTTACACTCTGTAGGTCTAAACATTAATCAAAGGACAAAGTAATATTTAATAGTTTGTGTTAAATTGTAGCAGGATTCAACAGTGCTAAACTCTGTATATATGCTCCACAAGCTAATATCTTCTAACCAGTTCAATAAATAACAGTGATTACATCGACTTTATAAGATTATTTTAATTTTAAACTGTTATGTTCTGCTCAGATCACATTGAGCTAAATAAGATCAAATCTGCTGACTTGTGTTGTAAAATTAGATGTTTTCCTGTTTATCTTCTGTTAATAAATCCATAACACAAACAGCTTTTCTGGCATTATTTAAAACATTAGATAGATTATATAAACTGTAAAATATTAATAATAATTGTGTTAATATTATTATTAATAGTTTTTATGATTTCTACATTGTCAGTCCTTTTTTTCTGCTCTGTCATCAACATGCACAGTAACGGGAAATCCAGACTCTTGACCGTTTTGCGTTAGCCATTAGCTTCACCAGCCGATCACATGGTCACGTGGTTTCTGCGCAGTCCAACTGTTCTATAGAACCTCCTTGGTCTGGACTTACCAACTACAATTTGGTCGTTTTCATTCTCCTCTGGCTCTGGGTCAGACTCTGGCTCCAACATGTGAGGCTGGATGGACAAGTCTTCCATTGTTGACATCTTTTAATTTTTGTAAATGAAACCTTTCTTCACTACTATATAAACCCCTCTATCAAACTAGAATGGACCGCTGTGGAAGCTGGACGGGGGCGGGTATGAAGCGCCTTGTTTAGATTGAAAGAGACAGCCTCAAAATGAGTTGATCCGAGACACACCTGGAAAATGGTGAAAGAGGGGCTCGTGGAGTTAGGAATTCAGACCAAAGCATTGCAGTTCCACTTTATATAGACCCCAGCTGAATGATTTAAATGTGAAAAAGAAGGATTTATAAGCATGATGTGTCTACTTTAAAGAAGACTCCGACTACTGCTACTCAGATGAGTTTAGAGTTTTGAGAGTGGCCATGGGTTTTTACAGAAGCTCTGTTTTTTAACTTCCCTTCACGTTTTAGTGGTTTGACCAGAGCGCTTTCATGGTAAATTTAGGCTAAACAATGAGCCATATCACTTCTTCAGCCACAGAATCTAACCACCATGAGAAAATGGGGGAGCGTGTTTGGAAATGTATAGTTTAATCTTCAGGTGATTTTTCAACCTGAGAGAAAACAAGTAGTGAACCTTGCAAATAATCCAGGCCAAGTGTAACTCTTCACTAATGGCTTCGACGTCTTTGGTCGGTTTTGAATGCCGGGGTCTCATTAGCAAACCAGCAGAGGCTACCACAGAGGCCATTACATCGGTCAGCCTGCGCACAGCCTTCAAGCCATTAGGCCTGATACATATGGGGAGCTAGCAGAGAGAGATAAGGATTTCATTGCATTACTGAGTCCATTATGTGCCACTGGGGAGTACAGCATTAAAGTTTGTGGTCTGATTAAATTTAGTGCTGCTCAGCTGAAGAGGCAATTAGTGCATGCAGCATACCTCCATCGTCGACTCTGTGGTGCAGGTGGCCCTTAAAATAAAACTACCAGGATATGCATAATTTATTGATTGCAGAGTCTGTATTAGTTTTGTGTTTATCACAATGTCTGCATAGAATAACAAAAAATATGCATTGATACTGTGCAGCCTGGGTAATTGCAGCTACAAAAAGTAATTTACATTGAGCCATGTTCTGGGAGCAGAACAATTTGTAGCTCTAGCTAACAGTTCAAATGTTGAATTACCGAGGAAAAAAATAGGGACTCTCCCTTTTCTACAATGGGGGTCTGTAGATTTATGCAGTAATTTAAAAAACATGCTGTTTTCTGTGTATTCACTAATTCACTTGAGGCAATATTCTCTAAAATGCAGCATGTGCTGGAAATGAGACATTTAAAGAGACTGTTTCTCACGCAGGTTATTTAAACCTCGAGTTTCATGGCGGATTTTAAAGACCCACATGTTTCTTCTCCTCCCTTTATTTGATCTGAAATTTAATTGACCCGAGTTTATATTTTGAGTGAAGTAAGGAGACCTTATGGGATGATGAAACCAGGGGAAAAAATGGTGTCTTTCCTGCTGTTTTAATTCACCGTTAACTTACAAATGTACCCACTATAGGCATGAAAGACTTTTTCGGATGAGGTTTGGCACATGAAAGGCTACCTGTCAGAAAGGTTTGCATCGCCTGGGATGAGTAAAGAGCTGAATAATCTACAGAAATTACTTTGCTCATTTGTCTTTAGAGTAATGTAGCTTTAGGTGATTTATTGGTTATATTACAGCTTGAATGCAATATTGAAATGTGCTTGTTTCTGATGTAAATTATATCAGCTGTACTTGACATTTTGTATTGTTCTTTGGTTCACTGAAGTCAGGACACACTGGCACTGTGAGGGCTAAATCAGTTAAATGTAACAAACTCAATCAAAAGAATAAAAAGCCTTTTAGGCGATTACCTGCCACAAACTCAAACCTTTGAGCTGTAGCCCTCATTCAAGTGTTAGATTTCTCATTATTTTTATTAACAACATGTGATTATTAACTTTTAAAAAACGAAGAACAGATTGTAACTTTGGGTATCAACAATGGAGCTCGTGGCCGTCTGCCAAAACTGAAGTGAACACTTTGTGTCCAATCTGTCAGCGAGTGGCATTCAGTAAACTGAGTCGTATTTGTCTCAGAGGATCCCTGTCAGCAATCAGCTAAACAGCTCTGCCTTTTACAGGGGACTTTTGACCCAGAGGTGCTTTTTGATCTCTTCCTGCCAACTGTCATCTTCTACGGCGCTTACACCCTGAATCAGGTGAGACTGCTGTCCCAGCATTTCTCCCAGAATAGAAAAGTCGACTTATCCTGGGATTAAACACTAATGAGCCCTGTTTTATTTGTTTATTTATTCATCGGCATGACACAGAATTCACTGGCTGTTAATCATTTATTTTTTTCATGGGTGTTACTAACTATTTTATTTTTGTTGATGCTTTAGAAACGACTGATTCAGAACTTGGGCTCTGTTCTCACATATGCTTTTTTGGGCACTTTAATCAGCTGTATATGTATTGGGTAAGTATTGCTTTTAAGTCAAACTCAACAAAAATAAATTATGCAAAACTCTATTATCGCATTTGCCTGTTTAAATGTCATGCTTTTGATCACAAGATGTACCATTACTATTTTTTAATTTAATCTTTTTCTGTGCGCATATTTTTTGTATCTGTGTGTAGAACCTCTGTTCAGTTGGTTGTACAGGTTTTTTTATTTTTCATAAAGGCAGGAGCAGCACAGGTGCAAATAATCACATTAATTAATGTTCTATAAGTGCCGCAGTCATCAGTTTTGTTGTGTCAGCATGTGAAAAATCACCACCCTGGAAATGACAGATTGAGCTTTAATTACTCACACCTGTGCTTTTCATACAATGATAAATTACAGTGACTGGGATAAAAGGTAAGCTCTTTAGTTTGTTGAACTTTACCAGACATGCTATAAGGTGCTGAAAGCCTTCTGACTCCAGTTGGATTTGTTTATGTTTTTGCAGAATATAGAGTTGTTATTCTTGTTTGGGGATACTAGATGGCGCTCTCACTCTTTAGAGTAAATGGATCTTTAGCAAACAGTTCAGACATTGTTTTTAGACTTGCACTTTTATAAACTCGGTTTCCAATACCTTTTAACATATTCTTTGTTTTACAGCTTCTATTAGGGATGAATACTTACCGCACATCTTGTCTATTACAAGATTAGTAGATGAAAAGACTATTAATCTGGCAAATTACAATACTCAGATTTATATTTTAGTAGTGTATTTTTAATCAGCTGTGGATATTATATACAGGTTACTAACTGAATTTAAGTTAGTATCTGTTGAAATATGTGTGCTTCCATGTACCCCAGTGAGGCAGGACTAGTTTGGACATGTTGGTTTGTGTGCACTTTATTTGAGGCAAAGACACTTGACCTGCAGCCATATAAACATAAACATGTGTGTTTCTTTGCATTGCTTTCCTCTATTAATCTATATAATTAAATTGCTGATTGATTAGTTAGATTACATATTAAATAAATGATCAATGTTGGATCCTGGATGTGCCTTGATCTATTTTTCACTTTTAACAACGTGTTAAGATTTGCCTGGAAACCGTTAGAAATTTAGTACTGGCGTTTTCACGTTCTACTGCAAGACATACAGTTTGCACCAAATAAACAAAAGCAATAATGATTCTGGGGCAGTTGTTTGTTACAAGAACAGCCAATTATAATCCAGACCAAATGTGATTATTTCAAATGTATTGTAAGTGTAATTATTTTAGAATTTGCACCCAAAGCCAGCTAGAAAACATTAGATAATGTGTAAAGTGTTCATCTCACTGCAACGTCAGAGGGGCACAGCTAGTTCTATATTTAGACCTCTGCTGCGTACACCGTTAAATGAATGTATTGCAGGTGCATCCTTAAGGTGCAGAAAGAAGACTTTACCTTGTTCTCCTAATTATGATTCTTGCTGTGTTTCATGGGCTCGAAATAATTAGAGAACACTCTGCAAAAGAAAAGTTTCAGTCTAGTTTTAATTTTAGTTGTGTGAGTTTATTATCTATAACAGTAAGAATATAAAAAGCTTGTTCCTTTTGAATTTGTTTGGTGCTTCTTTACAATGATTCTTTAGAGAAAAGCATGCTTAATATTAAGAAGAAGTAGGGTTTTCAATAAAAAGTTACAAACAAATTATAATTGAGATAGCTCTTTGAATGACTTCGGTTTGGAGATTTCTGAATAAACTGATGAGCTAATGGCTTGTTTGAGCATAACTAACATCAAAGTAGATTAATGTCTTAGAAAAATTGAAAAATTATATTTTTGCACCTAAACACCAATACATTGCCATTAATTTTATGTTACACAGTTATTCTGGCAGAAACATAAAACTGTTGCAGAAAGTAGCCCAGGCTGCACAGGAAGTGCTGCAAATGATCATAAAACTCTATGCAAGTAAATGTATGATGCAAAATTGAAGGTGATGTAAAAGTTGATCAAATCTAGTTAAATGAAACTTTTTTTTTTCAAACTAAAATTATTTTATAATATATTTGGCAATTTGAAACTATTAGTAAGACAATAATAGTTCATAATCTTCTAACAGAATACTATTTCTTTGAATCCCATCAATCCATTCATCCATTTTCTTCTGCCTATCCGGGGTCGGTTCGCGGGGGCAGCAGCTTCAGAAGGGAGGCCCAGACCGCCCTCTCCCCAGCCACTTCTTCCAGCTCCTCCGGGGGAACTCCAAGGCGTTCCCAGGCCAGCCGAGAGACATAGTCCCTCCCCTCCTCCCGGTGGGACGTGCCCGGAACACCTCACCAGGGAGGCGTCCAGGAGGCATCCTTACCAG